CACTAGTCTTGCGTTGGTTCTATTTACATTTTATTGGAATCACACACATAACAGACGTAAGGCTTTAAAATATTATTTACACTACGCCTTCAACATTGACGGTTAGCAAATTATTGTACAGTATTCATACATAACCAGGGCATTGTGGTTGGAAGACCTTCATTATGTCTCAGTTTGAATGGGGCCGGTATGAAAACTGTAACATGGTCCCGAGTGCTTGAATCGAAAACACAAAAGGAATTGATTCGATATATTACACTTGACGTAGAGAAAAGCGGACTTTGTAACGTTGTTTGTGGGAAAAATGTAACTCCCTAAACCAGCTTCAACTGAAAGGAGATAAATGCATGTGAGTTATGTCATTTACTAACAGTTACCAGGAATCATAGTCAAAAAATTCATATTTCTTTCGCAAAGAAATCTATTCAAAATGACATAATTTTTTGGAAATATTGCCGTGCTGAACAATATTGTTATACACAATGAAATTCGATATGAGCCAAATTTGAAACCATTCTTTGGGAAATCAAATAGCTAGAAAGTGTGTCAGCAAAGGGATTCAGCAAAATAAAGAAATTTATACGGAAACGGTGATATATACAACCAAAAATGACATATATGAAAAGTATAGCAAAGAATGATCAGCCAACATAAGATCTGTTAAATTATCGTTCTCTCTACAATGGACAACACAATAAGATATACTGCAGCCACACCATGATCTTGGTTGAAAATTGTTGTTTCAAAAGAAAATAAACAAACAATGATTCCTCAAATAAATTTGTTGAAGTATATTATTAGAAAAATCAAGATCTGGTTTATTGTTCGATTAATAAAAGTAACAAGCATTCACACCTGTTGAACATGGAAAAATTTCTCAATCTCTTAACAATTTATTGCATATTTTACTACTTTACTGATTTCTATCCTTAAACTATTTGGAAGTAGTTTTTTAATATAAATATATATATAAAACTTGTATATTACGAGCGTGAATGAAAAAACGTCCGCAGAGTATTTATAATATTCAATAATCTTATTTCGTCCCTTGTCATAAGTCGATAAAACAAATCATTTTGACATATCAGTGATTGTCTAACATACATACTTTTGACACTCAACCTCTGTATCAATGCTAACATTGGTCACCACAATTTTTACCCTGATTACAAATCTGAGTTAAAAAACAACATAATCGAACAGGTCAATTTGCCAAAAAAAAAAAAAATTGTTTCCAAAGCAAAGACCTACAACATGGGTTTTTCTGTTGTTAAGATTCGACTACTTCTTCTAGCATGGTTACAGATATTTTTATTGGTAAAAACCTAAATCATTTTAGTTTCGAGAGATCAACTTCTTTCATGCCTCAGAATTGAATCTCTGCTAGTATTTTTATGAATACAGAGAAATATACACATTAGTGAAAATTATACAAAAATGAAGAAGTAAATAAAACATCAAAAACGATCACCCAAGATAAGACCTGAATTTAGATGGAATATTATCACACTCTCTGAATGACCAACACTATAAGATGAATACAAAACTATCGATAACGCAATAAACTATACTATAATATATATATAAAAAAGTATCTGACCTGTTGTTCTCGGAAAAGCGTTATTCTCACAAATGCGACAACACCCACTCAATTTAACACATCGTATTTATAATTGACAGCTAAATGGAGTAGCAGTATTCAAAAAAAAACACTAGTCTTGCGTTGGTTCTATTTACATTTTTATTGGAATCACACACATAACAGACGTAAGGCTTTAAAATATCATTTACATTTTACACTACGCCTTCAACATTGACGGTTAGAAAATTATGCTACAGTATTTATACATAACCAGGACATTGTGGTTGGAAGACCCTCATTATGTCTCAGTTTGAGGGGGGTTGGTAAGAAAACTGTAACATGGTTTCGAGTTATTAAATGGGAAACATATGAGAGAGATAAAATTTAATTTGATATATTACACTTGACGTAGAGAAAAGCGGACTTTGTAACGTTGTTTGTGAAAAAATTTTAACTCCCTAAACCAGCTTGAACTGGAAGGAGATAAATGCATGTGAGTTATGTCATTTACTAACAGTTACCAAGAATCATATTCAAGAAATTCATATTTCTTTTGCAAAGAAATTTATTCAAAATGACATTATTTTTTGGAAATATTGCTGTGCTTGATGATATTGTAATCACAATAAAAATTTGGTAAAAGTCAACTTTGAAATCATTCCTTTGGAAATCAAATATCTAAAAAGTGTGTCAGCAAGGAGATTGAGAAAAATAACTAAATTCCTATAAGAACGGGAAAATATACACATTAATAAAAATAAACAAAAAATGACAACGTAAAACAAAGAATGATAAGTTGTGTTATTCACTAACAGTTGCCAGGAGACACTGTCAAAAAAGTAATATTTCATCTATTTAAAATGATATAATTTTTTGGAAATATTGCTGTTACAGTATTGTAATACATAATAAAAATTTGATAAACCATTCCATGTGAAATCAACTACCTAAAAAGTGTATCTGCTAGAAGAATCAAGCAAAATTAAGAAATTTCTTTGAAAACGAAAAAATAAGCACATTAATAAAAAATGACAAAAATAAAACGAAGAATAATCAGCCAAGATAAGAATAGTACAAGGTTGAATTATCGTTCTCACCGCGATGGACAACACAATATGTTATACTGCAGCCACACCATGAGCTTGGTCGGAAATTAATGTTTCAGAATAAAATAAACAAACCCACGTGAATTTGTTACGGAATAATATTTATCTGATGAGCTGAAGTATTGGAAAGTCAAGATCTGGTTTATTGTTTGAATAATAAAATAACATTCACAACTGTTGAACATGGAAAAATTTCTCAATCTCTCAACAATTTATTGCATATTTTACTACTTCACTGATTTTTATCCCTGGGTTATTTGCAAAGTATTTTTTAATATAAATGAGGTAGTAAATATTGATGGAAATGGTCGTGACTTCATCCATGATATAAGCTAACTTATAAATTACGAGATGGAATAGAAAAACTTCCACAGAGTATTTATAATATTCACCAATCTAATTCCGTCCCTTGTTAAAATACGATAAAACAAATGATTTTGACATATTATTGATTGTCTAATACAAATATATTTGACAGTCAACTTCTTTATCAATGTTAGCATTGGTCACCATATTTTTTACCCTGATTATAAATCTGAGATTTAAAAAAAAAATCGAACAGGTTAACTTGCCAAAAAAAGAATTTTTCTCAGAGCGAATACCTACAAAAGTGTGCTAGTAGCATTAAGAATTGAGCATGGTTCAATATGATGGTAAAAACCTAGGACATTTTAGTTCAGAGAGATCAAATTATTTTATGCTTTAGATCAGGGGTGTGCAACCAGCGACCCGCCGGCCAAATGCGGCCCACAGAAAATAATTTTGCGGCCCGCAATGAAGTCCCAATTTTGGATGTCGTGCGGCCCGCGAAACGAGTTTTTAATATAGATTGATCTGGTACATGCGAGTAATTCAATCCCTTCACAAAACCCATACTGAGTTCAATTTATTATCTATATTCTATGCCAATGAACTTAAAATTCTCCATCAGCTAGCTTGTGCGAAGCAAACAACGCATGTCATAAGATCAATAACCAATTTCAGAATAACCATTACTGAAAAAAATTTACAAAATGAAGAAGCAAATAAAACATCAAAAACGATTACCCAAGATAAAACCAGTACAAGGTTAAATTTAAATGAAAAATAATCATTCTCTCTGAAATGACCAACACTATAAGATATATACAAAACTATCGATAACGCAATAAACTATAGTACATGGTTAGACCATGTAATAATCGTGGCCGAAAATTGTTGTTTTAAAAGAAAAGACATTTCATAATTAAGTCTTTTGAGGAATATTAATTAATCGATGAGCTGAATTAGAAGAAGAATCTAAATCTGAGATGTATGAATCACAATAGGAACTTATTGAAACATTAATATCGATCATTATTAATAAAAGTATACACATAGATATATAGATTTTTTAAAGTTGAGATAATAACAATAAACAAGAGAGCTATGCTCAAATATATGGACACGTAGAGTCACATAATTTTGATGACGTCATAGCGAAAAAAAAGTAATAGTCTTCTGGAGAAAATTTTTATCTTTAACCACTGGAAATTTCAAAGAAATTGGTCCAATATTCGAAGAGAAAAGCGATTTCTTCAAAACGCGTTGATGGAGACAAATAATGATGAAAAATAACAACAAAATTTTGAAACGATCGTTATGTCCACTACGTGTCCAATAATGAATGAAAAACTAAATGGGTATCTAAAAAAACAATCTTTTATGTACTCGCTCATGAAATATCCGACAATAAACTAACAGATAAGGCATGTGGATATCATTCGATTTTTTATTGGCATGATTTGTCAAATCATAAGTATGCTTTATTATTGAAAGAATCTAGCATTCAAAACCGCTGTAAATTGAAACGGTTTCACATTCTTACATCATATTGCATATTCTGACTTTTTATTTTATTTTGAGTGACTGGGGAAGTAGTTTTATCTATATAAATATGGTAGCACATACGGCTGGTATCGTTCTCAATTTTCCACATGGATATAATCTAACTCGTAAATTATTAGCATTGTAAAAAAGTGCTTCCAGGGTTCGGTCAGATGGACAATTCTGAATTATTAAAGGGAATTCATAGTCTGTTGAAGAAGAGTATTTGTACATTTTAAGTTTGATAACTGCATTTTCAAGTATAGACTTATACAAGTCGAAAATAAATAGTTAAGGAATTTATATTATAACTGTAAAATTTTGTGGCAAACTCATCAACTTGGAAATAAAATTCATAAAACAGAAAAAGAAATATAAATACACACACATCTTCAAAATTTTCATTGTTTTTATTTTCATATTGTTATAATGACACATGGGGCTCTCTAGATACACACATATACAAATTTTTTTTTTTTTGAATTTTGTTATAAGGGCACATAGTGCTATAGATAGACACATCTACAAAATTTTTATTTTATTTTTTTTGTTATAACACACAGGGATATAGATACACACGTCTACAAAAATATTTTTTTTTTTTCAATTTTGCCATAATGATGATGAGATATGCTAAGTGGGGTGAACCAGTCAATTACGGTGTGAACATTGCCATCAAATTTTATATCCAATTACCACTTAAAGTAATTATCTTGTGAAAACGTGAGAAAATATTTTGAATGTATTTAAAAAAGCAAATTTTTGTGTGAGCAAGTATGAAAGTGCGTAAGAATTCTCTAAATTGTTGAGCAAGTAGCTTTAATAAAGTCATGTTTTTACAGTGATATTACCATGATTTGCACAATAATATTCAGCAATTATGTCAAATTCAGAAATTCATGGACTATGCTATTTCAATTAACCTGACATCAATTTATTTTGGATTTTTTTGAATTAGTACAATTTATTATATTTCATACATCCGGTTAGAAACTAATCGAATTGATGCTTTAAGCATTGGCCATACTCGATTCCAAACTATATTTGAAATTCCTTTCTGTTTTCTCAATTCTTTTTCCCATGCAACAAAATCTTCCGACTCCCTCTATCTATTACATTTGATTTAATCTATAGAATAATATAATTTTTCATATATGCTCTAACTTAAAGTTGGAATCAGGGACAAAGTTTAAGGCAAAAACCAGGGAAAATTCTGCCAGAAAAAAATTAAAATCTATAATCTATGACATAAAATAAAAATGTAAATCAAAACATGTTTTGAATGTCGGGTTATTTAAAAGTTTCTTCTGTGTTTCCGTTATCTGACGGAAAGAACGTAAATTTGTTGTCAATCCTTTTAAACAGTGGTTTCGCGTTGGGTTGAGGTTTGAATTTCTGAAATTAAAAAAATGAAATAAATTAATTAATTGCGTGGTTTTGGAGTAACTTTAGTTAAACAATGGGATAACATTTTGTAGCGGTTTTGATTTCATGTCGATGTGGTCTTATCCAATCATTGCATCGTGAATTGGAGAATATTGTTTTGAAATACCGTATTTTCCGGCGAAAAGGTCGCTTTTCTAGACCCAAATTTTCTGCCTAATTTTTTTTTTTTGAGGGGGGAGTTAAATAGGGAGATTCTCGTGCTGTGAATCTGGAATTTTAATGCTGTGATTATCATATTTGAAGTTGCCGCATTTGTGTGGCTATTACCGATACACGTGGGATTGCAATAGTGAAAATCGTCAATTGTCATGGTCATCGTGATGTCTTATTTGAGCCATAAACATCTTTCATTTCAGCATTTATTCTTACCAAGTCAGAAATTTGCAGCGAACACAACGATAATTACTTTATTGCTCTCAAGCAACCATGGCACTTGTGTTGTGAGATACGAGATATCACATAATCATGTGTGACAAGACGCTAAGATAAACAAAGGAGTGAATACATGACCCAAATGTTCTTGATTTAAAAGCGGCATTATAAAATACTAAAAATAAAAAGGAAACATCATTTAAGTTTTATGTCAAGATGGCCCGTGACAGATTCAAGATTATATTCAGGCCTTGCAAATCACAAAAACATTTTTTGTTCTACAATTACCGACAGGCGCAGACGCGACTATGCTATGTGTATAATACCGTAATTACGGTAATGTAAAGTATATTTAATTCATTTTATTGACATAAATTTACTCGGTGGGATATTATCGCTGACTCAAGGTTTTCTCCTACCGTAAAACCATCAAAAACAACATATAATCCCAATTAAGTCAATGAAGCAACACTTTTCGTTTTGTGGAGATTTAGAGGTGATGAATATGTATGTTCCATATTAGCTGTTTATATGTATATTTATTCATAAAAACTGAATATAATCAGGTAGTTTATCTCACATTATTATGTCCGCAGATTGCCGTGTTATTTTAGATCGGTAATGTTCCTGTATGGCGGACGCAACCGCGAGTTGAACACAATTAGATTGAAATTGAAATACAGTTTGAATTCTCGTAGTTGTTATGGTTTTAATATTACGCTACAAGAAATAGCCATTATAGAAGGCATTGCATGGTGATTTAAAATTTCGATGTTGATGCGATTTTACTGCAGGTTATATGCAAAACCCCGTTTTTCCGGCTTAAAAACGGGCCTCGTCTTATTCGCCGGATAGACTTATTCACCGGAAAATACGGTACATAGAAAAAAATATTGGATAAAATATGAATAAGTCGTTAACGACAATACCTTCGACTCTTTGTAATTGAGTTGTTGAACTATACCTCTGTCGACTTGGAACCACTCTGAACATTTCTTCTATTTCTACTTGGTTTCTTCTCATCTTTGAAAAGAAAAAATTGAGTGAATTTCCGAATTCATTCACATTCTTCCATTTGACACTTTAAAGCTTATCACACTTTGTTTAGCAATATCACCGGAAAATACATAAATGGCAAATAAACCGTTTAGCTATAACTGCATGCGGCAATAATGAATAATTTGACGTTGTTGTGCAGGATCCGTAGACTAAATGTCGATGTCGTGTTCACTTATAGAATAGGAATGAGATTTTTATCCCTAGGAAGAAAAGTTCGATAAAATGGCTTAATCATAATCTAGTTTGGTTACCAGTCCGTATAGGAAATGGGATTATTTAGCAAGTTATTTCTTTCCAGATGCATGAATTTGAGGGTGGAGAAAGACGTAACTGACCAGCGGATGCGTAAACCACCCTACGATGGCGCAGATTTCAGCATTCCTCTCCTCATAATTATCACCAAATCGATTCGAATCAATAAATTAAGGTTACCAAAGTTATCACGAACACATCGTCTCATGATATTTTCGTAAATCCATGATCTGATGGGGCTCAGTTTCTTCCAAACGTAATCAGGGACATCAGAATATAAGAAAGGATTGAGGGCGCTGTTGATCGGAATAATAATCAATCCTACAGGGACGTATGCATCATATGGTATGTTGATGCCTGTATAAAAAGGAAGATATTCTAAATGTAACAGATCAATTAAATGATCAACATAAAATTAAAATTCATTCAATATTCATTTAAAATAAAATTCATGAAGATGGTGTTTTTACATGAAGTTGTAAAAGGCCGTCTCACCAGAAACTTGTAAAAAGCCCATTATGCAGACAGGCATCCAGCAGAGAAAATCAGTGAGAATAATCCGGGTAATTTTTGTTTGCATCTTTCTTGCCAGTTCTGCCTTTAGTTTGTCGCTGACTGCAGCATTCTTTTCTCTAGTTTTCCTGAAATATTTTTAAGTATTGATTATTTAAAAAAATTAATAAATCAAGTCGATTCATTCATCTCACTGTAAACAATTTGTTTAGCGTGTCACAAAAAGCACCTGCAAACGTACACTAAGTTCATAGTAGTGTTATCAATAAATGTGATGTGTCTATTCTTTATTTATATGGTCAGGTGTTGCTAAACAAAAAATATTTCCCAATTTCTTATTCCAATGATGGATTTCTTCTATCTATATTTCTTCTATTCCTTCTTGTATTCTTCTCGTCGTCATTTTTCAATCAATTCACATTTCTTCATTTAACAATTTGGAGCAACAGAGAGTCTATCACACTTCACTCAGCAATATTACCGTAGAACAGGGGTCTCAAACTCGCGGCCCGCGGGCCAATTGCGGTCCGCAGGACGATAGTTTGCGGCCCCCGCCTTGGTATGAAAGTTTAATGTTAGTGCGGCCCGTAAGTCACTCAGCTCAGTTAGAATGATTGAAGCATTTAGTACCAGGACAAGTAGAGCAAACCAAAATATTTTATAATCTATCCCCCGAAAGGAATATGAGGTACGGTAACCTACTAGTACCGTACCTGTAGGCATGATATTCGATGGACCTTTGACCCGAAGAAAATTTTAGAGGTGGCTTCGCGAGTTAAAGCCTATAAACTGGGGTATATGTTTCACGTCATCATTTTGATTCAAAACATTCAACAACCTGTTTTTCAACAGTACCGGTAAAGAAGTTTAGCCTAGTCTATCACAGCTATTTCTAGACTAATTTTTGATTACGGCAATTAAGCTACGACGCCCAAGCAATCAGAATGATCATTGAGTTCTTTGATTCATACTTGAATTTCTGAAACAGAACCCAAAACTAACAAATAGCATGCAAAAACGGGGTGATGTTTACAAACATGCCTGAAAATCTTTCTGAGTGTCTGAGCGTTTGCGAAAAAAGTCTATTGTTACGTCCGGATGCGGCCCGGACTCACTAAGGCTCCCTCTCGGCGGCCCCCAGGTAAATTGAGTTTGAGACCCCTGCCGTAGAAGATTATGAAAATTCCTAATAAACGTTTCCGAATAAACGTTTATGTGGAATATATATTTTATACAATATTTCATAACCTAAATCTGAAAAAAAATTGACTTTTTTATCTGTGGTTTGAAGAGATACTTGATTCGAAAAATACCTGTATATCTTGACGTAACCGATAAAAATGAAGATGAATGCCAGGAAGTTTACGAGTAGGATGAACAGCGAATACAACCAAGCAGTATCAGTATTAGGGTTCGGGAACAAAGTGGGAAGGCAAACTCCGTGAGTGGAGTAATATCCAAACCTACGTTCGACCTTGTACGTCGAATTTAAATCGCTGATTAGTGATTCTAGCAACGACCATGTTCCAAGTTTTCTAAAGATGAAAAAATGATTTTTTACACATACGATATTGTTACAGCACATGTTCCAACTGCTGGTCAATCAATCTAAAGGATGGTATAAGCCAATCATTTTATCGAGTGAGAAATTGACCTTTTGTTTTCGAATGCAGTATCCCAAATTTTTATTCTTTGAAGAAAGCTTTGTTCAAAGAGAAAAAGTGAAAATTCGTAGATAATATTTGCCCAAGAAACATGATTCTAATAAAAATTATTTTGAAAATCATTTTCTTTAAATAATATTCATCTTCGGCAGTGTTTTTTGTAACAATATTGGAAAAAGTTCTGAGTATATATTAGCAGTTCGTACTTACTCTTCTATAGCAGGATCATCTTCGAATCTCTGTTTCGTTAGAAGTGAACGAGACAGATTTACAACATCCTTTTTATTAATAGTTGAATACAATGGATGTCTGTCGTACCTAAAATATTTCAAACAGTCAACATGTCTGATTTGTACTATGCAAGCTTATTCTAAATATGAAATATTAGTTCAAAAAGATCAGAGGTCATCATAAAACTTTAAGTCAGTTCTAAATAAGTTATGATCAATTATATGGCCACTTTACCAGTTTTAAACGAGAATGTCGTTGTTAACAATACAAGAGTATTATATCTCTTGTACACGAAGGATAGGATCTTCTTACATGTACAAGAGTTGCTTTATCATAAGAGCAAACCGTAATAATTCAGTTGTTTTTTGTGTCTAAAAACAACAATTCTACTTTCCTCACCAAATGCTGTCGATGAAAAAGTCCTGATTGAAGAATGGGATAAGTCCCAACACAATGGAAACTACCCATGAAAGTGTCAACAGACATGCGATCATTTTCATTGATGTTTCTTTTGCGAAAGGCCTGCAAAGACAAAACTCAAGAATTTTTATTGCTCGAATAAAACGCACTATATTGTTTTCTAATCAATTCAATAAGATGTTGATACGATATACAATATTTATGTTGATAATATAGGCAAATCGACGATGAAAATGTTTCAAAAATATCATGGTTGATAGAAAAAACATAGAAACAAATTTACCTCAATACAGTTTTCATTCGAAATCCTGTAATAATGGTTAGAGTAATTACTGAATTTTCTGATCCAATCAAAAGCAAAGTTCCAAGAGCGGAACATGTGAATCCACTTCGCCACTGCCTATCCGTTTTACAATAATCCTTTGTTATTGTTGCATTCTTTATACAAATGGCCAATGTGTATAACTGTAAAATAGTATGATTTTTCATCTCACTTTTTTATAATTCAGTAAGTGTTATGATCTTAAATCCAGATCAACTATTTACAAGAAATCTCGAATTGTTCTTTAAACAATATTATTTACACTTATGATAAATAAGTTTACCAGGATTTCTTAAAAATTAGGAAGTAGTATTTGGTGCTGAAATGAAAAAGAAACATTCCATTTATAGTCATATTCATCAGAAATATTATGCATATAGTTTCAAATGTACTCCCAAAATATGTGAACCAAGATGGCGGACACAGGAACGTAGTATGTGTACCAGGTAAGATTAGGCCATAATTTTATTCCATGTTTTCTTCTTTTAGTTCTATTACGAGTTCGGAGACCAGCCAAGTGACTCCCGTAGTATTTGTACCTGAAATTATGGCCTAACCATAACCTGGTACACATACCACGTTCCGGTGTCCATACTTCACATACTTCGGGAGTATAGATTCAAATCAGAAAAGTTCGAGTAACTGTTGGTAAAGGATAATTATACATATTGTACACTTACCGCTACAAGTAAGTCCGAGAGTGATAAGTTAAATATCAAATATTTAATGATTAATTCATGTTTTAAAAGTTGTTGTTTAGAAAAGAAGATGTTACGAATCGATCTACTTGACACGAATAAATTTCCAATAACAGCAAACAAACCTTCATAAAAAAATAACATATGTGAGATATAACCACAACCCAAGCAGTTCAAGATAATTTTGCCAAGGAAAAAGCTTTTACAAACATTAAAACTTTGAATGATTTAGTATAAGAGGTGATTATGAACACAAAAAAGATAAAATTACTAAAAAAGTACAATATAATTTTCACTCTCTAGAAATTCATGTAATTGTTTTCAAAGTAACAATAATAATATGAGAAGCTGAGTTGAAATTCGGCAATAGTATTCATCATTATTTCATAGAAGAGGTATAGTCACATACGAACAAGGAATTACAAGCTACGTATGTCCATCTTATTTTATAACGTGTAGAATTAAATCAGTTAACACACTGCATCATGAAATCTATGTCTAAAAAATCCAAATTGAAATTTTCGATGAGAAATTCAGACTCTCACAATATTCGAATATCAGGAAAATGCAAGAAATTTCTAGTAATGCATTAACCTCAGAATATTAATAACTCACTGATCATCCATGTAAATGAAACAAAGTGTTCGTTACTGATCATTAAATTAACATTGGAGAATGCACTAGAAATACATCTGTCAAGACATTCATCAAGACTGCTTGTGCAGTCTTCGCTTCCATCGCAAACCTGCTCATACCAACAAGAAATATGGATTTATTCAATTATAAACAAACCTTTAAATCTAGGCATACTTAACAGTACACACTTACTTGGATAATAAATGAATTATTGTAAATTTTAGAAATAAATTTGAAATCCTAATTTAAAAGATGTTTGCAGAGGTTAACAAAAAACAAAACTCTTATCGAATAAGCAATGGAAATCTTGCAGTATCAAAAATTTTCATAGCGTCAGAAGAAAGAGCTTTCAGAAAACTATCAAATAAACTCGAATTATATGACAAACCTGTTTTTTTGCAATGAATTTTGGTTCTCCTCCATCATTGCAGTAAAAATGTGTTTCATTACTACAATGCATCTCATCGCTTAAATCTTCGCAATCCTGTTATTATGCATGGAAATTATGCATTAGCTTATTTAATGAAATAAAGGGGTTTGAGAATTCAAATTCATGACCCCCCCCCCTCCCAAATGAGCAGCGAATTAGTCTAATTTTGTTTAGATAATTTATTATCAAAGTACCGTTGTTTTCTAGTTTCTATAGACCGAAAAATGCAAAACCTCACACAAAAATTTCATCCGGATCGATAAACTAATCGAAACATAGATTTATGAACATTGTAATATTTAAGGAATAATACGATACCAATTTCTCAGAGTATATGATATATTTATATTTCAACTACTCGTATATCCAAACTTTGCAACTCATAGTTCAAGGCCAAATAAATGCTGTAGATTAAATTCACGATAATGCCAATTGAATTCAATGTGATATTCAAATATTTCAATTTTAAATTTTAAATTTTAACCTTTTGTTTGTTGCACACCGTCCTATTGAATACATGCAATGGAAATCCTGAATTGCAGTGAAACCTGCAAATAATATATATTAATGAATAAAATATGTAATTAAACATATCAATACAAGAAATCTGTTTAATTTCTGGGATCTTTGGTGATTCAATTTGTAGTAAAGATTCGGTGCTCCAGGAGTATGCGCACCAAGATGTCGCACAACCTGAATCCTAACCGATACACACATACTATGTTCAGGTTGTGCGCCATCTTGTTGTACATACTTCTGGAGATCCAAAGTTTCTTTATTTCTATACATAGGCTGTTGTATTTATGCAGCTCTTTTGAGCTTTTATTTTACAAAGAAAGCAAATGCAAAATGGCTGATTGTAAAATATTCGAACTTTTATTGCCAAAATATTTCATCTGTCTGAAAACGCAACATAACAAGTAGCATACCTATTTGGACAATTTTGTTCATCTTCCCCATCAGAGCAATCTTTAACTCCATTGCAAATTTTATTGGAATCGATCCGTATTTCGTCATTACATTCATACCTGTCCCTGCCAACAAATATTCTACAATAATTCGTAATCGAACAGAAGTACAACAAGGTAAAATCCTTTTGCAGGAAGATTTGTACAGATATGTTTCATATTGATCATTTTTTTGCTCAGCTATGTATATCTATATAAAAAGACATTCCTTGATGAATGAGAGATATATTGATCTAATAAAGTGCCTTCGTCAATAAGATTGAAGACATTAAATTTTTTTTAGGAGATGTTTTGTTTGTTCACCAATAGTTGTTTGAATATCAACAAGAAATAAATGGTAGCTTGCTCTACAGGTCAAAATATCAGATTTTATACAATTTTAGCCATAACAACCAAAGTTTTTGAACTTTATTTTTCACTTTCGGAATTAAACCTGAAACAAAGTTTGAACGATAGTAGCTGGTAGTGACTATTTTGAGACGTTCGATGCCGATCTAATAATGAATGATTTTGATTATTAGTATCTGTAACAAAAGACCATATCGTATTTCAGCAAGATCATATAAATGAGCATAGGACCACATCTTGCTAGCTCACAGTTTGCTCCTGATCTTGAATTAATGGACTGGATGGATTAGGGATATCAGAGGATCCACTTAAAAAATGATTTTGCCAAAAAGTCATGTTCACGAGCCCAATGAACTTATCAGCATTTATAAATGATGAATCAACGCCTACAAATATCTGTCGCTGGTCTTATATATAACAGGTCTCGCAAGGCAGGAGCGTAGTTAAAATTAGTCCAACAGTGGCATACGTTGGAATCAAAAAAGTGAACGGTAAGCGCATTTCGCGACGACGTGCGGTGGCGTCCTTGCGGTCAATGAGCTAAAAATTTCGCATTACTGAGAGCGAACATCTCTGAATAAAATCACGTGACACGCTTGAAACAACATGATTAAGCGGTTAATTATTAACAGTTTTTTATTACTGAGTTGGAAGAAACCGAAAAAATATCACATATCTGCTTTCCAGCGACAGAGTTGAACTCGTTTACGGAAAAATAAAATGCTTCTCCGCTCCCGCTGATTACACGCTTTTTTTCATAGCGGATAAAATAGTTTTGGACCACGGAATTTGACCGCTTCCATCTACCTTTGCATTACACAACACAAAAACATTCTGTTATATTGGCTATAAATGCATGGATGAGGCTAAGTCCAACTATAACGAGTTATAACATATTCGGGTGGCTATTAAGCTTTGTTTCGTCACACTTGATGATAACAGCAGAAACATTTTCGACGTACTCTCCCAAGGAGTGATCTCGGCAAAAATTCGAGTTATTTTAAATTTTGGTATTTTATACTCGTGCCTTCCGCTTTGCGCGAGTCCACTAGCGTAAATTCTGGAATATTAAACTTCACTTACCCATAATTTCTAAGTCGAGAGCAAAATGCTGGTTTATTTGCACAATCCCTACATTCTTCTTTTAATGCGTATTTACAATCAATGACTCCATCACACTTCACTCCTCGTAATACTTTTAAGTACGAAAATGGCAGTTAGTGAAATGATTATCTGTCAGTTTTAAATTAGAATGTAGTTTTTGAACTTGCAGTCAAAGATGACCAATATTCAATAATTCTAACAGAAAGAGTTGATTAAACTGGACAAATAAACCGGGGAAAACAACAACAACAAATGAAAACTCTGTTCCAAGTAAGAGTGAGGCAACCTTTGAAACGAAGGATTGGCAAACGAATAATGTGTTGGGATAATGAGTGTTGGAGTCTGATTTTATTATTCTTTAATACGTAAAATACATCTCAATGAAAAACTTGCAAATGTTACTCATTTCAGATCTAGGATTTAATTGATAAGATAAGCAGCGATTGCTATATGTTGTGATTATTAATTTGAACTTGAGCTGTTGCTATTTTTCAGCTAATTTAAATCAATGAATTATATCAACCTGAACCCGGACACTGATAATCTGCCTTGCAAGTCTTCAATTCTCCATCAGCCACTATTGAACCTAAAAATAGTTTATAGTATCTTTTTAAGAAAAACCTAATACTTAAGGTCACTAAATTACCTTTGGAAAACCAAACAATTTTAATAAAGGCATTGTTTAGAAAGACGAGTTTTCGGATTATTCGCTGTTTGAGAAAAAACTATATGTATAGAAATTGGTAAATAAAAAAAGCATCATCGGCATGTCTGAAATTTCACAATTGTCTGATTTGTTCATTTTGTATTCAGCGTTGCCCTATTTTACCATTGAAAGTAAATTCCCTTAAATAAGTTGGATAAAATGAACGAATTATATGAACATGTCTTATGTGCAAATTCATTGAAAAACAGATAAAACTCAAACCCCAAAGAACAGAGACCAAAATAAATGACAAAAAAAATTTAACTGCCTGCATTTGTGAGGAAATGGTTCACGTAAATCCCACAAATTGTATGCGGAAAAATTCAACTAATACCCGAAGAGGTGAATTGACAGCAATGGGTAAAATGCACGAAAGAACATTTTGTTTGGTGTAAAAAAGGGATGGGCAAATCCGGCAATTTTTATATTTTGTATAAATATTTTTTAATTAGAGACGATCAGTTTCTCTCACGTCAACAATCTTTGGTTTTATCACGCGTTTGTTCTTCGAGATAACGCGGTAGACATCGAACACTGTTATCTCGGTACACGGTCCAAGCCGGGATATTTAGAGAAGAAAAACGTTAATTTAAACCAAATGCAAAGACTCGTTATTCCTTTGTTATTTTTACGTTTTTCAGCTTTACTATCTATTCCTAATGCATGTAATGGTAAATCATTGTGCCGATGAGTGATCCACTAGCAATTTACCGAAATACCTGGTTACGAAAATTTTCATTCTTTTTTAGACGTACCATGCTTCAGGAGGTCCCTTCATTTTATATCAAACGATTTTTAGTGGTATACAAGTTCTTCCGAAAAAATAGACCCACCAAAAACTAGACGTGAAATGATGTCAAATTATTGGTTATTATTATTAGGTGCGATAAATCAGAGTAGTATTTTCTGGTTCTGCTAAAACCTTTGGCAAATTTTTAAATTGTGTTTTACCTGAACAATTGTTTTCACAATTTGTTTCGTCCGACGAATCTTTGCAGTCGACGCTAAAAAGTATTTGAATTAAGGTTGTAGTTAGTATTTTGTTTTATTGAGCATTGTTCACATCTTCGCATTTTACGCGACTCAAATACAAAAAGTCGAATCTAGACACCATGCTATTAAGTTGACATCGTATTACGCAACTATGTTTAGAGTAATCAAAGTATCTCCAATAAAATAGACCGTCTATATCCGAAATGCTAAAATATCTGGAAGTTTATTCTACAAATGCGGCTAAAATTGTTATTGCTGTTAGTAAACCACTGATATCTACATGACTACAAATAGGGATAAATATAATCTCGTTTTGATTGAAACATATAGCATTCAACAGAAGTAAAAGATATATGATATTTTTTGCTCAAGCATTTGTCCCAAACTCACATTCCGTTACAAATTTTCGTTGAAGTAATAAACTCATGCGAATTGTCGCCTGTGCTGCATTTCCATTGCGGCGATGGAGATTGGTTTTGACCTGAACAAAAAACTCTGATTATCGGGCTTGTTAGCGGGAATTATATTTTTGTGGAAGCGGGTTTCCTAGAATATCACTGCTCGGCTTAAACGGCTATCTATATAAACCAACAAACAATATGCTTAGTCGCTTATATGTTGACCGTGATAACGTAAACTATATCGAGGAAGGAAGAACGAGTGAAATACTTCGAATATGTCAACGGCATTTGATAGGAAAGAAATTTAACATAATATAAATCGAACGGCTTATGTTCTTACAATTGTTGAAGCCGCGGAATCGTTTGTTCCGGATTAAAAAACAAACATATAATCAACGACACGCATTAACGAAGATGTTTCCAACATGTATATTCTGGGCGAACTGTATCATTCATTATATATGATGGCGGACCGGCAGCAAAATATTGAAACTAATAAAACAAAAAAATGTGTATTAGCCTAATCACATAAAGCGATATTTGGTTACCTGACTGTCGTGTGTCGAAAAAAATTAATAGTGAAAACGATAAGACTCCTATTTGTGTTTTCGCAAAATTTGAAAATGTCACAACTCGCCCGACAATGACTTCTAAAAGACTGTTTCGCAGATTGGTGATTGGAAACTTTTGTCATATGACTTTCATATATTCATTAACATTGTTAAATTTAAGGCTCCAATGTATTAACTTTACGATTATGTCTTGATGCAAAATCTTATGAAAAAAAAAATAATTACAAAGAAAAGCCTTACCCCAGTCTACGTAATTGCATAATTCAGGTGGTGGGCCTCGTTTTCTACATATGCATTCATCAGATAAATCGGGACAATGGAAAATACCATCGCACACTTTACCGAACTTTATGATGGTCGGATGATTGAGACAGTGAAAACATTTTTCGTTTAACAATTCTTTTTCTGAAAGCGATATAGGAAAATAAAAAAATTGCAGTACTTCATTATATAGTGAAATACTTGTTTGTATATATTTCCCTCTAAACCAGTGAGTTATGTCGTCGAAGTTAAAAATTGACTTAGTTAAATAAACAATTTATATGTATTCAAGTTGTTGTTGTCACCAATCGAATCTTGGGTCACTAATCGAATCTTGGGGCGATAATACTGGACCGGAGTGTGTATAACTCACGTCACAATTATTTGCTTAAATATGCTGATATATTATTGATTATTATGAAAATTGACTCACTTTCCCTGGTGTTATTGCACAGACACTCGTCCACCCCTGAATATAAAATAAAACAGTAATAATGCCAGTTAGTAGTGATGTGTATGTTAACAGTAAAATCCTATAACCAAAAGACGTTCAACTATTTTTAATTCGATGAAACAAGTTGCTAGGAAGCACGTTATATACAGGATCTCTTCCAAGTAAGTATACACTTTTAATTTTGATTTGCTTTTCAGGTACTCATCATAGAGCGTTCACTTCTTCAGAAAACATTGTATGAATAAGTAGTAAAATTTAGGTATTATTTGCATTTTCCATCAACCCACATAATGACAAGTCGGTTTTTCGGGGTTCGGCATCTCGTATGACGTGTGAAACTTTTGAACTTCATATCTTACAAGCCTAATGTTATATTTGGACAAGTTTTACATCGTGTCAAAGATAATCTCCATGACTAAATATACTGTAATTCCAAAATTAGGATGAATTGTTGCGAGTTACGACTGTCTTACTGACATTGGCAAAATTGGAAAACATGGAACATTTTAGCAAATCTGGTAAATTAAATCGAATACATTTCCATTTGTTCTCGATTTAACATAGTGCATTATGGACAACATTTGTAGAGGTTAAAGATAGTCTTTCAATGATACCATTAGATTGAAAATTTCGAAAGCATTCGTTTAATATTTTCTTAGTCATCACATTTTCGCTGCGTCAACTTGTCGTAAACAACCACGTTACGCACTTACGTTGGTGCACAGCGACTTAACAAGCTAGTCATTTCGCTACCGGTACCCAATCAGCCTCTAGTAAATACTTTATGCACGGTGCATGCTCGTTGCCGGCTACCGATAAATACATGTTCAGCTGATTTAAGAGGAAGACCATATGTTGCGGAATAAAAGTTATCAAGTATTTTGAAGCTATTAATTGAAGTATGCAAGCAATATACAAGCGAATTTACGCATTACAGTTAGCATCAATTTGCCATCATATAAAGCTTCCGGCAAATAACACAACTGCTGATTGTACTAGCATTACGATGCCCGTACATATCATGCCGAACGTTTAAATCCATTATTTTAAATTGTTGTTTAAAATAAGGCCTGGGAATAGCTGAACTTGAAATTTTTTCTATCGCTCCACTTCATCTTTATATTTAAAGACGAATAGTAATGTTTGTGACACGCACCGGTAAGCTTCAAATGACATATATATACGTCCGTGCTCCGTGACATTGAAAGTATTAACTCAACCAAAGCCTTACACAAAAGAATGTGACGCTACATACCGTGAACGTCATTACGTCAGAGTTGAAATGAATTTTTCAACAAAAAAACAAACGTTGTTATCCCATGATATGAAAGTCAAAATAAATAAATTAACTCAAGCGTTGCTTATTATAGGCTTGCACGTAATTGACAAAAATCAATTCCGTAATTACGGCCAAATCGATTACGTAATGACCCCGTAATTGCGATATTTTTTCACACATTTAAACCTATCATAACAACCAATTGAATTCACTTCATTTTCGATTGGGTTCGAGTTTGGGTTTTCATATTCCTGGCAGTACTACACGCCGGCGACAGATGTTAATTAAGACAAGAGTGAATTCAAATTAATTTTATTATAATTTTTATCTTTTGTGCTAGCTTTGATTTCCTTTATCACCTTCGCAAATTAACCGTCCCAATTTTATGCGATCAATTTTATCATTACCGACACTGGTATACGGATATTTATGAAACGATAGTTGACTTTTTTAAAATCGTATTAAAAAAAATGTCGGGTTTCCAATTTATCAATGCCACGACGAGCGTATTCTCTCGTTTGATTATACTTGCGCTTGCCTCGCGACGAAGACTTGTTATTGCACCGTTTTTAACATTATTCGACTTTACTACCTAGTCAGCATTTTATAATAATTATTGATGCCAACTTATTGACGTTATTCCGATTACCATGCTTCATTTTACATTAAATCATTTTGCGGCCTAAATGTTGTAACATTATTTGCGACAAATTTAGATCAAATATTAATTATTCGCGCATAATTTAAATACCGTACTTATATGACATGCCTTTTCCGGAAATACAAAGTTGTATCGCAGAAAATGCATATATATTGTGAAATTTATTTTGCACTCATGAAAAAATTAACTTATTTTTCTAACTCAAGTCGACGATCCTATCGGCCAAGATTGACACAAATTTGGTCGAGTGTGGGTGGTATTCAAGTATTAAAATAAGTTGCCGCATTTGGTAAAAACAGTTAATCATATTTGGCCGAAATATTGCGAGGCATTGTGGAAAACATATTGAGCAAGGACAAGTCCGGACTGATATAAAACGATAAAACCGGTAACAGAACATCAAGGTTTTGTAATTGAAAATGGTTCTCGCACAGAATAAACACACTGGCTCCTACTTGATATTTGATAGTAGTTAAACTGAGAATATTGAACTGTTAAAAACAAAAAACCGATCTCGTTGCCTTGGTTAAATATAATCCAATGATCAGGACATTTTCAATTAAATACTGCACAAAGATAGTTATACATTAAACATTTAGGCTACAATTTAGCTTTTTCTTTTAAATTTTAATCATGCATTGTGGTGGAGAAATCCCACTATTTAAATACGGGTAACTATAAAAATAGAATAGGATTCTGGATTCGATTTAAGTATTCTAAAACAGTGGTTCCCAACCGCCGGTCCGCGGACCGTCAACGGTCCGCAAAGGATTTTTACCGGATCGCGGGAAATCCCGTCATATTGTTGTTTCTCTGCCGTCTCATTCGCTTTACCGATGCCGAAAAGACGAAGTTGCGTTTGTTTATTACGCAATTTCTTTTTCGTCATCATATTGCTGATTTTTACCGGATCGCGGGAAATCCCGTCATATTGTTGTTTCTCTGCCGTCTCAATCGCTTTACTGATGCCGAAAAGACGAAGTTGCGTTGGTTCATTACGCAATTTCTGTTTACCCTTAATATATCATTTTTGAATAGAACAAGAGAGCAATGCTCAAACATAGGCAAACGAAGACAGAGCGTCGGTTCTGACATATAAAGGCTCGAGTGAACGAAGTTTGCAACATTGGCGCGCAAGCTGTAAGAAGGGGTCGAGTGATACAATATGAAAGGGGTTCTGAATAATTTCGTTACAAATAAAAAAAATATTAAAACATCGTGACAAAGAATACATACCATCAGTACAGTGAGATCTTCCATCACAAATATATTTAGATGGCAGTAAACATTTTTTATTACTATCACGTTTATCATTTGCATCACATTCGATGCCTCCTCTTTGGTTTTGATCTCTGTAAACAAATTCATCACTGCCATCTCTGTGGAAATAAAATAAAAATTAGCGTATTCAAATGCTACAAATTTTGCTTGAAACTTAGATAAAGTTATTTTATGGCGTCATTCCTGCTGTTCAAAAATGTCGAGTGAATCCAATCGCTACAACACCACTCTAACACAGAGTAGGATTTCGGTCTTTCTAAGTTTTCCACTTTTTAATCATTTCTTCCTCTACCTCTTGTTTATGGAAGGAAAAGTATTCAGAGCGTATTATAAAAAATCGAGTTTTATCACGATTTGTCACTTGCCAAAAACCTTCATATAAGCTAAATTATTGCTGATTACATCCAATGCATCAAAATGCATATTGAGAGACACAAATATAAACGAAAAAAAAACAGACAGGATACGAATCTGATTGTCGCAGGATCAAATAACTTCGGATACTTCCAAGTCTCGAATGAATATTTCAAATTGATATTTCTTGACTAAAATGCTGTACATTTCACTTATTGCATTTCTCTAGCAAGCAAAAATGTACTTACAAAATGTAATTTAATATTTGTCGCCGGGACCAGATATATGCTACAGTGCGTAATCTTACTCTTATCTGGTTCCAAGTTTGTCACGATTATTAGCTATATGAACATATATACTATTCACCCGTAAAACGAGTTTGTTAGAGAGGGCAACGTTGAAATTTAGTGAATACCATCCGAAAGTTACGCTTTCTGAAGTAGCCATTTGACTTTTGCAACTATATATTTGATAGTTACTCTCTTGTTCTATTTATATTCTTACCTGCAATCAGGATATCCGTCGCAAAACCGAGACCATGGAATGCATATAGTTCCGTCCAGGCAAGAGAACTCATCTTCGGAACAGCCAACTCCTGAAAAAATAATATCATGAATAAATTTCTATTTTGCACCAATCATTCTTGTGTGTCATCAATATATCTGGCATTGTTGTAATAAAAAAACAATTAGTTTAAATGTCTATTTTTTTAGATGAATGTCAGAATTGCACAGGTATAAATAAGTCAGTGCAGTATAACAGCAAGTAACAGATTCTTCGTAAAATTTAAGATATCTTTTGCATGATATATCTCAATCAATCTTCCATTCCATATGAGCATACTCAAAGAAAATGTCAAATATTGAAAAATTCGTAAATTTGCAGCAATAAACGGTAAGGACAATGTGTTTACTTGATTGGTCTTGGTGTCAGGATAATTTTTATATTGAAAAATAGATTGCAACGTGTGTTTATTCGGCCAGATCATGCGAATTAGCTAATTATCGAGCAAACAATTCCGGGCTTTATTTATTTGACAATAAAATATAAAAACAGGCCAGGAGTATGTGTACCAACATGGAGGTAACTAATTTTGTTTGCTTACCTTACATCAGGTTGTGTAATGAGACGAAAGCCTATGCGCTGGGGGTATATTCACTTGGCTAACACAAACAGTCCCAGAACTCGTAATAGAACTAATATAACGGAAATCGGAATAACATTATGGCCTAACCCTAACCTGGTCCACATACGATACGGGAGTACCTGAAAACGTGTATTTATTCGGATTGTCATCACATCCTTTTTAGTGCTTGCTTAAATAAAAATCATTCTACATCGAAATAACATTTTATAGTCTGGTTTGGACAAATCACATTATTTTAAAATTATTTCACAAACCAAAGTTTCTAGGTTCCAACTACTCCGCTTTTAATTTATCTAATATTGATGGCATATATTTTATAGAATATCTGACTCATTGAAAACGTAGTGTGTGTACCAGGTTAGGGTTAGGTCATAATTCTATTCTGATTTTCCGTATTTTAGTTCTATTAGGAGTTCGGGGACTGTCTGTGTTAGCCAGGTGGATATCCCCCTGCCCAGGAGCGACAGAATTTTTTCGATTTCATACCAATACTATATGCAAATTTCATTACCTTTTTCTATGTTGGCTGCGATCACAACACAGACGACCAGCATAGAAACAAATCTTCTTTTCATGACTAAAAGTCCTGTTGAAGAATTCCAAGATAATATCAGTATTTATGCTGTGCAATTGATATATCTATATATGTTTAAATTTTTTTATTCTAGATATGAATATAAATTTTTATTGCAAATAAACAAAATTCAAATATTTTATGAAAACATAAATTAAATATTTCAGGGTTTGAAAAATTCAGGGTCCAGGCTAAATTTGTATGTCACGGTAAGTAAAAATAGTTGATAACATATATAGTGACATTATTCATACAACCCAACTCGAGATACGAACTATTTTTGTGTGAACGCAGTAGTTGCAGTCTGACATTCCAAATGATTCGAGTTCAGCAGTCCTAAGAATTCCTTCAATAATCTCAAAAAATATTGTTTTCAAAACGTCTTGTCCATTGGGATGTGTAATTTGTATTTGTAATTTTAATGCTGATCAATTCAAATCCAGCCAGTGTTGGAAACTAGTTTTGATTTAATACTGGTAAATAGGATTACAGTCTATTGTAGTATGACACTCTATTGCTTCCTACAGGAAATTTTGGTCCTGTACATCAGAATGCAAACGATACGCGGGAAATTCTGCAACGTAAGTTTTTATTCAATTCATTCGCTTTGAAATACATGACGTTCGCGAAATTTATAAAAGTATATGACGGTCATCGCAAGTTATAATATTGCTTTATTAAAACGTCGATTATTCGATAACTCCAAAGTTTATTTATCTGGAGACAAATTCTCAGATGACATACAGCTGACAGCAATTTGGCGTGAAAATTGAATTTTTCATCAACTTTGATTAATACATACCCTTGTAAATAAGGTAATGAAATTAAAAATAAAAACTATAAAATTTATGTAAGACTTGCTTTGAATCGCTAGTTGAATAATTTTGCAACATCTTGAAATTTACACACATTTTTAATAATTCACAAATTTAATATTCGCAATAAAAACTATAATAGAAAATATATTTACAATAGATTTAGGGCAATTTGCGAAGTTATACAGAAGTTAAAGTAAAATTGAATTATCTCAGAATATCAGGGAACCTAAATAAAACTCGACAATGCAGTATATAATTTACCAAATTAACTGGAAAACAAAGTCAGAAAATTCTTGGAATTTACAATTCATTGTTACCTTACAAATGTACACAATTTTTCGTTTTAATTTCTATTCGAGCATTCACATTTTCAAGTGATGCTGAGCATTTCATACGTAATAAGATATCAAATTACAATACATAGAAGGAATAGAGTAAACTTCAAAATATTAAAAAAACGTTTCGTCTCGTCGATTTCGTCATTTCAAATATTTCGTCAAAAATTCAGTAATATATCTTATTTAATTGAAATTTTATCACCAACAATAGTTGATCTATAAAGCTAATATAATCCAAATTAATTATCAAGAGTATCTCGGCAAAGACTATTTGTACATAAAATGAGGTTTCATCCAATGCAGCCAAGTGAACAGAAGTGGGAAAATATGTGTATTCTAAACTAGTGGTTCTCAAACTTTTTTCGTTAAATCCCCCCTCCGCCTACATTGAAACTCTTTGTTCCTTCCTAACTATGTATAAAAAGTACTTAATGGATCCTTAGCAAGTGTTGTCTGAAAAAGGCATTCTCAATTTGGAACAAGTTGAATATTGTATGTTATATTCTCTTCATGAAAATGTATTACATGTATTGCACTAATACTGAATGACTGAACAATATTATTTGAACTATAAAAAATACCAAGCAATATTTCATCCCTAAAGTGACACAAAATACCTCACTGGGGAAGAATTCCTTCCCTGTTGCGAAATTCCTGCCTCCATTTCTAATGCTTAAGATACATAGATAACGGAAATGCGTACATATTCATCACTGCATGCCTTAGCAGGTGAAATTGTTTGTTATTCGTTAGAGGAAATTTTGATTCTATAGGTTAGAATGCAAACAATACACGGGAAGTATACAACGTCAGTTTCTGTTCAATTTATTCGCTCTGGATAATATGACGTCAACGAAATTTATAATATTTGACTGAGTTTTGAAACGATAAAGAAGCACGAACTTGAATCTTAGGTAAATGGCGGCTTTTGATGTTAATTTTATTTCCTCGTCGTAAATTAATTCAGAATTCTAAAACTCGCACTGATTTAAAGTGGTTTTGTCATCGCGCTGCCCGCTGGTTTCCTAGTACCGGTACCCAAAACAAATGTTTTTTTTTTGTAAAAATTTCAAATTTTCATTTATTGGTGAAAATATTAACAAATATTATGCATGCTGCTTACTAATCCAAGCACTAATCTAATAACTTTGAATTGGGTTGCACGAAACTAACTCTCTATCTTTCCTTTATGCGTTTATGCCAGTGATTCGGTATGCGTATACTGCAAGGCTGCTTGAAAAAACATTACTTTTCAATCCTATTAAAAAGTCCAGCTACACACTAACAGAAATGTATTTTTTTGACGTTTTGTTCGATTGTTGTAAACTTCTTGGCTGAGGAAGTCTAACTTTAGTCGTTACAGGAATACATTTGTGTCAGTGTGCAGCTGGACTCTTTAATTGGATAGACTAATATAATATGTGCTCTTTGGTTTATTTCAGTTCATCCAACCAAATATGAGAAAGAACAACAACTTTTAATGAAATGTAGGCCTACACATTCAGTAATTAGGACTTTATATGTAGACCCTCTTTAATCGCGCTGTGAACCCTTGGTAAGGAGGGGCTGCTGTATGCCATCGAACCGTTACTAAAACGTACAGTGACTGATACATCATTTTTATCTTTTTTACTTTATGTTTCTTACGTGTACATTCACTGTAAATACTTTCTGTTTTTTATTGCACGTTTTATTATGTCGAAGGATTATGGAGTGCAAAAATAATTACCTTTGTTTCTCAACATGGGGAAAACAGTTCCGGTACTTGGACAAATCGGTAGTCAAACACCAATCCGCAACGAATTATGGTCAAATACCGAGGCATCACTGTACTTCGTATTTTGAGTATTCGGTTAACCGGATATTCATCGCTAATTGTTAGAGAATCAATTTCAAGATGTTTTTGTGGAGTATTGATCGAAAACCATGACACAGTTTTATTGTAATTATATACACACACAGTGTACGCAAATATATGTAAATTGAATCACGAACATAAAGAAAGTCATGCATTTTTTGGTGAGAAGTATTTTGACAAAAAATAGAGTTTCGTATGAAGTATAATGCATAAATATAAGTTTTGTTTAGACGTTTTGCAATTTCTAAATAGTAGTTCCATAATGGATTCATTTCAACTTATTGTAGACTTCAAAATTTAGTCACTTAAAATAACTTTTACGCTAGAGATTGTAAAATAAGCCTTCAAAATTCCCATTTGCTTCATCATAAAAAGCGTTCCCTCAATACACTGCAATAACTAAAAGTTACACCAAGAGGAAAAGCAACAAAATGAATAATCCATGACTTGCACTTCCCACAATGTCGGCCTAAATTATATGTTCATGAAAGCAAAATGCAGTAGATAAGAAGCAAAAAAACAGCAGCCGCGCTGGACCATAAACAAAATCCAAATGTAGAATAGTACCTGTAGTCCTGAAATATGAAATGTATTGTTGCTTCATTTATGTCGCTTGATGACACAGTTAAGCTCTCACTCTCTGTTTCTTGCTGTACTGCATGTCGCTCATTGCAATGATTGAAGATGTCTGTGTTTTTATTCACAATATACTAAAGTAATATGAACGTTTGAATGTATTCACCGATGAACAAACAGTGCCGAGGCCCGAAGGCCCAAGGGCCCGAAAGGCCAAGAAGCCCGAAGGGCCCAAGGCCCGAAGATACACAGCCGGCTTTGATTGT